TCTTGACGAAGGAGAAGAGGTTCGGGGACCCATATGAGCTGGGAAGAGATACCTTGCTTTGCCGGGAGGTGCACAAGCATATGGTGCAGTATCGACCAAAGGAACATTGCCCACATATCGGACCGAGTGGAGGAGATATGTGCGTGGATGACAAGTCTTACGTGCAGACAGTTCTGGAGTCATACTTCCCTCAGTCGTGGATTGCCAATGGTTATGGGGATGATAACATCTGGGTGAAGAAGTGAGGTCAGGGAGTTGACGAGAGATATATATTGGAGCTAGTTTAATTATCTAATGTATAGCGATCGCATTCGTGCAATTCAAAGTCTAGTATAAGTCATCCTCTTCTGAGATTTGTACACTCAACATATACTTCGCTTACATAGAACAGAGTTGTCGGCTCTAAAGCCAGTCTTTGGCTTTATCGAACCAAAGGCACGACTGTCTCGATTCTCCAAGGCTTTACCACTTCCTCACCCAGAGTTACTGTTAAAGTAGTATTTTGATGGCTCTTCTGATTCACTTCAATCACTAGGAAGGATTCGACAGCATTAAATGAATTAATGAAGCCCGAAGCGATACCGAGCGAAACATTTGAGGTGCGAATTAGCACGGAATTGATTAGACCAGGAAGTCATATACATAAATGCCGCAATGGAACGCACGTTTACGCAGAAAATGCCGCAAACTTGTGTGGTTCATGTATGCCAAGTACTGTAATTACCGCCGGTCGGTAAGATTGAATTCAACTAACTTGAGGGTATGGATTCGGCGATTGCGACAGATCCGCCGCAACTGGTGCTATCTCATAACCCTCGTCGCTTGCCTTGCTTCGCTAAATACCCTTTGTGAATGATATAGTCCTCTTCATCTGCAAGTTGAAATATTTACTTTCCACCAGTTCTCCGTCTGTCGCAAAATTGGAAAGCAATTTCTCGGAATATCGAGCTGTGAAGTCATCGTTTACTTCCGAACCTTTTTCCTCCGAACCCGGCGGTCCTCACGAGACAGCAGTTCCGCAGCAGCGCCACCACGATTATGATGGTTCCTTGAATAAGAGCACAGTTCTCGCATTATCTCGGTCGCTGCGATATTTATTTCACCACCATGCTGCCCCGGGCAGCCCGACCGCCATGCCTCCGTGTCCCCGGGCACTTCGCACATCGCGGTCCCGCAGTCCCGCGCTCCACGCCGCGGATAGCTACACGGCATAGCATCCAGTTCAGAGTATTCTCGACGAGCAAAGGTCTATTGAACAAAAATACTACTTCAGACCCTTCCTCACCACCGAAGACACCCAATTCCGGTTCTCCGCTCGCCCCTCAATCGCCGGACCAGAAAACGAAGAATGCCCAGAATGCTGCGGGCACGCCGAAGAGAGATCTTCTGAGCGAAACTACGGTGGGAAAGAAGGAACAAAGGAAGGCAGATTGGGCGATAATGAAAGAAATGGCCAAATATCTTTGGCCTAAGGTAAGGCCTGGAGCAGCCGTCGTAGGTTGGAGAATGTTTGATACTAATTGTGATATCATAGGATGATTGGGGAACGAAGCTGCGTGTCGGAACTGCCCTATCGTTACTCGTTGGAGCAAAGGTTGGTGATAATTCTGCAATCATCCTAGTTTTTGCAATTGGAGCTTACCTTGTGGGGTCTAGCTCCTCAACGTGAATGTGCCATTCTACTTCAAGAGCATTGTCGACTCGATGAATGTGGACTTTGCCGCAATTGGCGGGACAGCCTATACAGTTGCAGGCTCTATGATCATAGCTTGTAAGCGAGGCATACACATACAACGCAGTACCCCTGTCTAATGATAGTCTTCCAGATGGTGTTACGAGGATTGGCGCTACACTTTTCCAAGAACTTCGAAACGCCGTATTCGCTAGCGTTGCGCAGAAGGCAATCCGCAGAGTCGCACGGAATGTATTCGAGCATCTATTACGGCTAGACCTTAATTTCCACCTTAGCAGGCAAACCGGTGGCTTGACTCGGGCAATTGATCGCGGAACGAAAGGCATCAGCTTCCTACTGACATCGATGGTCTTCCACGTGGTTCCTACGGCTCTGGAGATATCTCTTGTGTGCGGAATATTGGTATAGCACAAACGTACATAACACGAACCTGGGCTTTTGCTGACGTATTGACAGACATATCAGTATGGTGCGCAATTTGCTGCGATCACGGCTGCGACCATGGTCGCATACACTGCTTTCACAATAACGACTACTGCATGGAGAACCAAGTTCCGGAAACAGGCCAATGCTGCGGATAACCGCGGTGCCACAGTAGCCGTGGATTCTCTGATCAACTACGAGGCTGTCAAGTACTTTAACAATGAGAAATTTGAGGTCGCACGGTATGATAAGGCGCTTAAAGCTTATGAAGACGCTTCTATCAAGGTGACGACGTCGTTGGCCTTTCTCAATTCCGGTCAGAACATGATTTTTTCAAGTGCGCTTGCCGGCATGATGTACCTCGCAGCAAATGGAGTCGCCAGTGGTTCGTTGACAGTTGGAGACCTGGTTATGGTCAATCAGCTTGTCTTCCAGCTGTCAGTTCCTCTGAACTTCCTTGGCTCTGTGTACCGTGAATTACGTCAATCTTTGCTGGACATGGAGACCCTATTCAACCTACAGAAGGTCAATGTGAATATCACGGAAAAGCCAAATGCGAAACCTCTACAGCTCCACCGCGGAGGGGAGATCAAATTCGAAAATGTGACTTTTGGTTATCACCCGGACCGCCCTATTCTCAAGAATGCAAGCTTTACGATTCCTGCTGGCCAGAAGTTTGCTATCGTGGGACCCAGTGGCTGCGGCAAGTCGACCATCCTGAGATTATTGTTCCGGTACTATGATGTCCAAGAAGGCCGTATTCTTGTTGATGGTCAGGACGTGCGGGATGTGACTCTCGAAAGCTTACGGAAAGCCATTGGTGTTGTGCCTCAGGATACCCCTCTCTTCAATGACTCTATCGCACACAACATTCGCTATGGAAGAATTGACGCTACTGATGAAGAAGTGCACAAGGCTGCACAAAGGGCGCACATCCATGAACTGATTGAGAAGCTACCGGAAGGATATAAGACCGCTGTTGGTGAACGAGGAATGATGATATCCGGTGGTGAAAAGCAACGATTAGCTATCTCACGACTGATATTAAAGGACCCAGAACTCCTGTTTTTCGATGAAGCTGTAAGTCCTTGTCTCGGATTATCCTACGCCTGACGAGTAATTAACTGACCAATACAGACATCGGCTCTCGACACATACACGGAACAGGCTTTGTTACAGAACATTAACAGCATTCTCAAGGACAAGGCGCGGACAAGCGTTTTCGTGGCTCATCGATTGCGAACAATCTGTGACAGCGACCAAATCCTTGTGCTGAAGGAGGGCCGCGTGGCAGAAACGGGGTCGCATCGTGAACTTCTTGAGCTTGATGGCATCTATGCTGAGCTGTGGAACGGTAAGGAGCCCGTCATTTGGCGCTGTTGGGTCCACTGAACCGAAAGCTAACATATCACCTGCACTATATAGCCCAAGAAATGTCTTTCGCTGAAAACGCAGAGACCGAAGGTAACACCGAGTTTGAGGAAGGTGCTGGGAAAGAGGTGCTGCCAGAACCCAGACAAAAGTGAGCCGGTTAGGAAACTAGACTTGGAAGTTGGGTAGTTGCTGGTTCAATTTAGCAATAAATATATTTTTGACTCGAGAAAGGTCCTACGGCTATAGAGTATTTATTTCTTATTTCTTGCAGACACCTTGAAACTGTCCCAAGATCATATATACTATACTTTCGGATGTCCTATACAGTACTACAACTTTCCTTGTCCTTGGTGACGAAATACACTAGCATAATCAACGCTGCATTCGGTACCGTTCTTGGGAAAATAAAGGGTGAGATTAGGTCCAGTTCTAAGTGGAGATCAAAGAACAGTGCCGAATCAGCGAGGCGGCACCCAAATCGATGGTACACCATACTACTACTCTGTCCCAAGGTCTCCATAGTCCATACGTAGTACTCCCAAGTGCATGGATGGTCCGAACGAACCCGGGAGGAGGGCATATGCCATGATTGCGCCAGCTTGGACTACGTACTACTAATACTTACTCGAACGCTGTCTCGGATAAAAAATACCAAGGAACTAGAACGCGTTCAGGGGTATTAGAGTGAGTCTAGTGAGTCTAGTGAGTCTAGTGAGTCTAGTGAGTCTAGTGAACACAATGGGCCATCGTCGGCCGGTTAGTGCGGGATTAATATCAGATTCTGGGCAGTGATTCGGGCCAACTGGCGGCCCGAGGACGGGGCCGACCCCTGGCTAGACCGGACGTGGGCTAGTGGCGAACCCCATCCCACGTTTTTTGCCCCTCTCGGTTCAGTGACCGTCCGCCAGGCGACGTGCGGCCGGGTCTTTCTAGACTCCCGTCAATTCTTCGCTTCTTCTGTGACCCATCTTCTTTTCTTTCTCTTTTTGATCTTTTTGTCCTGTTTTCACCCCCCTCCTTATCTTTCTTACTCATCTGAGTTTTCTTTCTGTCAGTCTGTCTTTCTTTGTCTTGCGGTCGCACGCATAGTTTCTAGTGGCTTTTGACGCATCAACGTCATTCGTCGAACCACCCACATTCCTTCAGCCATCAAGTCCTTTTGACGCTACCTAGTACACCAGCTATCTTTTCTGAACCACTCATTATTGAATTACTATTGGTGGCCATATCAAATTGGCGTGTTTGCCCTCTCCCGCCCACGGCTTGCTCCCCCAGAATTATTGATTCCACTCGTTCGTCTCCCAACGTCTTCTTTCTCCTCTTCTCTTCTCTTCTCTTTTCTTTTTCTCTCTTCTCCATCCGGCAATTGGTCTCCGCCTCAAAATCCTGGTATTTGATACCTCTTATCACTCCTTTTTTGTCGGTTATAGAACTATACAATAGCTCCACCAGGTAAGCCATTGTCGTCTTTGTTCGGTTTCCTTCCCTGCGCCGTTCTGAACGTCGCCATCATTGTTTTACTTCGCTAACCCATATTGTCGGCATTTCTAGCGAAGCAACAAGCTCTTGTTTACAATCATTATCTGTTACCATTACCACCTTTCCCTCCCGAAACCAGCGACTGCTTCCGTTTGCGGGCGTTGCAATTCCTTGATCTCCTGTCGAACCATCTCTGCATACCCACTCAGAAATCAAACCAATTTGACTGTCTGATCAAGTACTTGTGGAATACCAACGGATCAAAAGTTTTACTTCGCAAAATTCACATACACGATGGGTTTCTTCGAGAAGTTACAAGCAAGTAGGTCTCCTACGCCATCTCGACCTCGACTCAGGGAGAACTGTTCGAATTATAGCCCCGTTGCTAACCGCTATTCTGATTAGAAATCGAACTTTACCGCCTAGAGCAGCGCTATGCTCGTCGCAAACACCGGAGCACATTCTCAGGTGTCCAGTACGTTGACGGTGAATATGTATATACCAACGGATCGAACTCGCCAGGGTCAGTCTCCAAGCACTCCACCGGCAGTTACTGGAAATCCCCTTCGTGGGGTGTATCATCATCCAGCGAGTCGCGTTGCCGGTGACGAAACCATTTAATTTGACGTTTTTCTGCGCTTGCTTTTGACTATATATCCTCGGCATTACGTTTCGTGTGGAGGATGTGACGACACTTCCGACCGTTATATGTCCCGCTATTCCATTCATGGTTGAGAAATGAACGAAAGATAAAAGTTCATGCTTTCTTCATCTGAGGGGGCGAACTGGACCGACCTCCTTCGATCTGAGACACAAGCAGCACCCCCCCTGATTCCCCTTCGGCACGATCCGATTAGCCTTGCATGCTTGACCACGCAGAAACCTGTACAGTACCCCGCAGGACAGGCATGCACGTCCATTTCTCAGTCTGACTGACGTCATATCTACTTTGGCATTTCCTTTTGGTATCACCGGAGTCTCTTTGGGTGTTCTAGTTAACGCTGTGTTGCCTTGTACGATCTGGTTCGATTTTTTGTTTTTACCTTTCTCCTTCGACTCCAACTCACCTAGCGTTGAGATTCTTTTTTGGTATAACAAAAGGAACTACGCTATGGTAGATTTTTTTTTTCTTGGATTCGTCCATACTTTCTCTCGACTTGAGCGACTTGATTCTTAGCTTGTCTGGGCTTCCCTTCTCTTCAAATACTTGACCCTTCAACTGTACATACATTCTATACGCACTTCTTTGAGAATTCGAGAAAAAAGATGCAATGACCACTAAGTGATATGTCTAGAGGTAGAGGTGAAAAGGCGCTAGGTTTAGATAACGGACGTGTGTGATACCTCAGACAAATAGCCGCAAATCCTTCTCGAGGAACACCGTAAAACAAGCACTATACACGGCGACAGACGAGACAACCTCCGTGTAGCTACATCAGAAACAAGCACATATTGTCACAAACAGCATCAACCTTCCAACAGAGCGACCCCGATTACCGTTTCGACTTCCTACTCCCTATACCCAGTCGTCCCAAATTAGGAAGACTGGTTTTATGTCTATGCGCAGCACCTAGGATAGAACCACCTTTTTGGTTCCCATATCAGCAGGACTCCGCCGTCCCTCGGCACCGGCTCCAAGACCTAGGCCTGTTCGCGGTGTATCGGGGAGGTTTGCCCGTTCCTTGTTCCGCGCTTGGTCTGCAGCAGAGAGGGCGGCAGCTAACGAATGACCCTGGAAGCCGGCGACGCCGTCGTCGAAGGGACGTTCCCTTGCACGGAGGGCTCGGCGAGCCTTTTCCTGGACGGTTTTGAATTTATCGAGGAGTTCGACCCAGCGGATGGTGTTCTCTTCGCGTTTGAGGCGGCTGCCTGTCGAGCGATCGTAGGCGCTTGAGCCGGAGGCTGAGACCATCGTGGAACTGTGAGAATGGTTTCTGTCAGTATGGGAGTATTTGAGACTGGCTTTCATTCTTGTGGTGGGTTTCAAGTGTGCTTACAGTCGAGGTGTATGGAGAAGGCCAATGTTGCTAACGCTATTTAAACGATTCTTTAGAGCCGCGAAGGCAGAGCTCTGTGGAAGGAGCATGAGGACACCATAGAGACATTTGTAGAGGTATGGATAACTTTCTGGTTCCAGCAGTTGAAGTCGGAGATCTACCAACAAATGAGCGCTCATCAATAAGGGATACCGAAAGCAACCAGAAGGGCCAAAAAGCAACAACTTACAGGTGAAGACAGGTGACTCCAAAAGCTGGACCAGCTTATCGATTTGGATCAAATTATTGACAGTCATTTCGAGCTCGGCACTGGAAAATTTGGTTAGGACATTTAAGCAAGTATAGATATGCCCATACTGACAAAACTTGAAGAAGGTTGTAGGCTTGCTCATATGCTTGTGCAAGCAGACACAGTGAAAACGTGGAGACAGAGTTATGACACCAAGACCTAAATAACGCCACAAAGAACATCTGGCCCTCCTATGCAGATTGTTAGTTACAACATCCAAGCGTGAGCTGAAGCGGGTCTGTTACTCTGGTGTCCAGGTTTCGTAGTCGTTTTCGCAGCCCGGAGAGCTCGGGCGCCGTAATTAGGTTATTGTTAAGATTCTGTACCATAATACTGGCGAATTCAATGTCCTAATATCGCAAAGAGGATTTTAGCATGTCTATTGGCTCTTTGTGCAAGGCAAACTGACCTCCTCCTTTTCAAGACAGTCGGCTAGAGTTCTGTAAATGCGCTCCGGGCTTAAATTCATACAAAGCTGGCGGATAATGAGGTTTCCGCGGACCTCT